TATATAGATGGATAGATAGATAGATACATACACACATACATACACACATACATACATACATACATACATACATAACATACACATACATACATACATACACATACACATACACATACACATACATACATACATACATGCATACATACACATACATACACACACATACACAGACATACACACATACGTACACACATACGTACACACGCATACACATACATACACATACATACATACATACATACATACATGCATACATACGCATGCATGCATGCATGCTGGATGTAAGCTTTCCAGCTCGTAGGCCCAAAAGGTCGTAGATCCATCAAATCTTTAAGTTCTAGAAAGAAAGACACCGGTCAAGCAGTGGCAAATTCGTCGACCCACACGCTAAACCCAACAGTTTGCAAGCTCAGCCAAGCAGCCGCAGGTCCAAGGTCGCACCAAGGTTGTCGGAGTTGGACACGAACATGTACTTGATCCTTGTTCAAACACAACGAGGGTTTTAGGGTTTGGCTCAATTTGAGGAACTGAGTCCCACAACACCCCGAAGACATTGAAGACCTTACCAACCGCATTGCGAACAGCTAACTCTAAGCTCCCTGCAAGGGGTTCTGGGCTTCTTGCCCCAATTCTGAATTCTTACCCCTGGATGCTCAGACCTGACAGTGCTTGTTGCATTACTGCACTTTCTGAATAGGCTACGGATGGAGTGCCAATGCAAAACGAACACAGCGCACACACGTTCGGCTTCGGCGAATTATCCGACTGACAACTCCACCGTGTAGGGCTTACAGTAAGGCCAAGGGGACTTTGTAAGTTGAACCGAAACTCTGAATCCATAAAACAGTTAGATCTATACAGTCTATCCATAGAAGAACGCCCATGGGCATTTTGAGAATTACTGCAAGCTTTAGTCGGGTCCTAAGCTCAAGCTCTGCAAGCTCTAACACCTAAGCCCTAGAAACTTCGCAGCCCGTCCCCAGACTCGTAACGAACACCGAGGGTTGCCGCTCTGATCTTTTGACGAGGCACCCCTTGGCCAACAGGCGATCCAAAGTGCCGGACCTAGGGCCGGCGGGCGGCTGGGGAGTTTAGTGTCAGCCATCGGGGGCTTAAGTGCTTGAAGGCTCGGGTCTTTAACATCTCTGACAAGTCCTAAGCACTCTACATTCCTGAAACCTAGAATTAGAATAAGAAGCCTCCACCTCAAACCATAAGCAAATACTTTGTGAAGCCCAAACGGTATTCCTGGGGTCTCCGGCCCCAGCATGGCCGGATAAAGGTCTCCATGGCCGGGTGGGCCTGGGATGATTCGGACGAACTGGGATTCGGCTGACGAAACGTGAGCATGCTATTACATGCTATGATTTTCCGTGGTTCTGCGAAGCTGTAGCTCGAGCCCTTCCAAAGCTCTTTAAGGCTTCTTGCTGCGAGCCCGGTCGAGTGTTGGACAAGCCTTGCACAGACCACGAACATCAAGGGCTTCCTTGGGCCTGGCTTTAGGGGCTATTAAGCACACTTCGAAGAGTGACTGGGTGTACACGGGACTGTTTCTGCATCTCCGCAGGAGTTGTAACGAAAAGACAACGGTTTACAAAAGGTGCAATGCTGCAAACTCCGGAAATCAGGCGGCGAAACTCTAAAATTTAGTTGCGAAGCCCGCTTCAACTCATCACATCACCTCACTCCGATGACGGTGTTGAGCTCAACACGGGAGCCTAACACAAACACTCAACAGAAGGATCCTGATCAGTAGAAGACCAATACATACTGAGAGCCCTACAAAGAGGGTGTCGCAGTAAGAAGCCCGAAGCCTGCCCTGCGCCAAGGGGCACCACTCGTGACTCGGCTCAGAGGGCCATTCGGCAGGTGCGTAGCCGTCTGCGGTGACCTTCGGCGCCTTATTCTGCACGAACTGCAGATCATCTCCAGTTCCCAGATCCTGCGCACCGGGCCCGGAAAGGTCTCACAGCGACTGAACACGCCACTACCTTAGATTTATACCTTTTTATAAAGCATCAAATTGAATCCGGGAAGACCCCAAACAAAGCACGAACCCTGAACCCAGGATCCGGGTACTTGGACAGCGCTTCCAAAGTGTCCGCGGAAGTCGAGAAAGAGTTCATGAGCATGAACTTGAGGTCCGGCATACTGTAGGTTCCCTTCATCCAAGCCACCTTCAGGTCTAGGCTTGGAAGAGCTCAGGGATCTGAGGCAGAATGGGCGCTAAGGCGACGATCTGAACTTGGCAAAGACCAACTTTGACCAACCTGCTTGATCAAGCGATTGTGGCGACAGGAGAAAGACAAAAACTCCCGACCTGCTTGGCAATGAGGTCCAGGAACGTGTTACCGCCCGTGACCTCCAGAAGCGACTTGGCCTTATCAAGGCCCATGCCCGTTCCTCGGTTAGGACCCTGGGAGCCATGCAACTAGACAGGAGTGATCAAAAAAAGGGCCCATGTGTTGCAGCGCTGACCTCATTGCTTGGGCAAGCGGACGAAAGCTCGGCATGGATTGGTCCGCGGCATTGCAGGGCCGGACAAGGAGGTCTCTTCGGGGCCGGGGGCGCGATAATAATAAGGCTACTAAGGTATTGGAGGTCTCAAGCCGAAGGGGGGGAGGGTGGGAGGAGATTTGCAACATACCAGAACCCATTGTCGACAACCTGACAATCCGCACTTTGCAACCGGCTTCTTTCTGTCTCCCCTCTCTCTTGTTCTTTCTTCCTCCTCTGCCTCACAGGGAGCTAGGCTCAACCAACGCCTGCTCCTATTCCACACTGTCCTGGGTGCCCAAGCGTAAAGTCAGCTCTCTGGGATTTGGCACGAACGCCCCCATCGCAACCAGCATCACTTGCAAACCTTTATGGTTGCTCTCGAGAGGGTTTTCCTTCCTGACCAATCAATCTGAAAAGATTGGTTCTTCATCGGGGATTGGGTTCCATGCCTTCGAAGCTGCTGATTATTCTCAGTAAACCATAACTTCAACCGAGTCCTTGCAGGATCTGCTTCTGTGCTAAGCGCAACCCAGGCTCCTAAACCGCCGTTCAATTTCAAGACGACGGTCTCCTTCAGCAGCTCGGGCTTCGGCGTGATCTCAAGGCTCTCCAAATCTGGCAAAGTCGGCACCGGATCCAAAGCTGCCTGAAAGCGATGCGCGAGGCCCCTAGCGGCTGCTTTCCCTTAACGTAAAGGAAGAGCAAGCACCTAAGCCACGACCAGGCCGTTGCCCAGCATTCACGTTCACCTCCTCCCCTCGCTGCGACGTTCCGTTTACCGCGTGCTAGGGACCCCAACTCTTTGACACCTCGAAAGTCTCTGTGTTCAAGCCTCTGCCGAGTTGGCTGCCTCTTCAGCTTAGGCGTCGTTTTCTGCCTATGCACACCTGGTTGGTCCTTCCACAGCTATATGCTATTGCTGAACTTTATTCGGGTTGTACAGCGCCTCTGGAATCATGGTATCAGCACCAGACGTCAAGACTTGGAAGTTGTACTTGAAGGCATTGACCGCAGCATCGGTCTCGCTCTCCTTGCCTCCAGCCCGCATCTTGGTCTCGTACAGCGGCCAAAGCGCGTCGAAACTCATGGCGAATGGGATACAAAATCAGAGACCGAGACAGCTTAGCAGAGCATGCGATCTATTTACCACGCGACTTGGGCCGAATCAACGCAGCAAAAGGAATACTATACAGGCCTGCATAGACAGGGCTTGGGCGCTTCCATACAACATTATATTCAGGAACCCTAGGTCGTACGGAATGGTATTGATTTCTGGCTATTCAGCTATTCAGGCTTCTGGATCCCTGCCGATTGCTTGTTATCGTTGCGACACTGGAATATCCATTACTGATTTTCCAGCTTCGGGCTGCAGCAAGCTCCCTCCTTTCTCGCAGCTCCTTGCGAACGCATCTCGCAACTCAAGTCGTGTCCAGAGTCAGCGAAAGTTATGCAGGAGCTCCGCTTCCTTACCTGGGCTTGTTCAACTTCGGCTGGACTGAAAACGGTGTAACAAGGAGTGCACGGTACTCGCAGCTGAGACATACCGTTCATGGCGATTTTACATGAGTCCTTCTCGTTGGGGTGAGTGCTTCTCCGAGTTTTGTGAGGATGTTTGGCATTGGGCGAACCAAGCAGGATGCGAAGACACAGTTGGATCATGGCCGGCCTTCACCGTTTGGGAGATCACCACAAACCTCATCAGGGTTCAGGGTCTAGAGTCCCGAGACTTGGAGTTAAGCGAAGGGGTGGACAGAGAACCTGAACTTCAGCTGTCCGTGCTTTGTAAGGTGATTCCAGAGTGAAAAGCTGAGACAAATGCTAATCCAACGACGACTGTGGTGTCATCGAGTTTGCCACCTGCAGTAGAAACTCTCAGCAGCCCCGCGCCACAGCATGGCAACCTGCATGCGCAGTGATTGCCCACCTCGAAAAGATAGGCCTTCTGAATGAGCGGCCAATGCAAACGGTGTGATGATGTCCTTCAGTATCAATGCAGCTTCAGACACAGAATCATTCCAGGTGCTTGCAAAGAGCGTCCTCAACTACATCAAAACCTACACCGGAGGCCACTCATGAAGAGATGCAATGGCAAGCAGAGTTCCGTAAGCCCCACAGCCTCAGCAAAGAAAGCATCTCACCCTCAGCGGCCCCAAACCGAGACCTTGTTGTCCTCCTGCTGCCCAATGCGCTGCGCCTGATTGCTAGAGATTTGATTTGTTATTGTTGGACACCGGGCAAGCAGGTACAAATGGAGCATTCGGTTCTGCAGAAATGTTCCGCCGTCAGGGCACATCAAAGCAGCATTGACGGCGCCAAAGCGGACACGAGCGAAGGAAAGCAAAGGCCTGCTTGGCGATACTGGTGGCGAGACCGCTTAGATGAGGGGTGACCTTAGACTCAGCCACTCGACACCGGACAGGCTCGTCGCCTTGGGCCACCGGCGCCTGTAACCTCCAAGGTCCAATGCGCCTCAAATCCTCAGACTCGTGCCGGCGCCCCGACGCTCCAAGCTTTTGCCAGTTGCTGCGCCACAATGGCCTGGACCTCGCGAAAACAAGTTGTAGGCTTCCGGGCTGCCCGCAAGAAATACAATTTTTAATAGTCGTGGTGGTGGTGGTGGTGGTGGTAGTAGTAGTAGTAGTCGTCGTCGCAGTAGCGGCATTGGGGGCAGTGGTAGTAGTAGCAGTAGTAGTAGAAGTAGTCGTCGTCGTAGTAGTCGTCGTCGTCGTCGTAGTCGTAGTAGTCGTGGTGGTGGCAGTGGTAGTAGTAGCAGTAGTAGTAGAAGTAGTCGTCGTCGTAGTAGTAGTAGTAGTCGTCGTCGTCGTCGTAGTCGTAGTAGTTGTGGTGGTGGTGGTGGTGGTGGTGGTGGAAGTAGTAGTGTAGTCGTAGTCGTAGT